CTGAGCAGGAAGCCCGATGCAGGGCTCGATCCCAGGACCCTGGGATCATGACCTGAGCCGAAGGCAGACGCTTAAGGATTGAGCCACTCAGGCGCCCCCCAAAAAAATTTTTAAAGACTTTATTTGAGAGAGAGAGAGTGAGAGACAGAGCATGTGCAGGGGAGGGGCAGAGAGAGAGGGAGAAGCAGACGCTCCGCTGAGCAGGGAGTCAGACCTACGTGGTGCTTGATCCTGACCTGAGCCCAAGGCAGACACTTAACCGACTGAGCCAACTAGGCGCCCCAACATACTGTTTTCAATGTTCATCCATGTTGTGGCATGTGTCAGAGCTTTCATTCCTTGCTATGACTGAATACTCCATCATATGGCCACACTGAGTTTTGTTTATCCATTCACCTATAGATGGACATCTGAGTTGTTTCCACCTTTTGCCTAGCTGATGTTTTTATGTATTTCCAGCCCCTTGTTGAGTGCCTGAAATATGTTCTAATCAAACAATTCTGCAAAATAGATCTATATGCAGGGGAAAGGAAAGATCACCAAAAACTAGCATTAAATGAAAAAGATAATAGCATTCACTCTGCACCTGGTTCCAAGATCTTACATGTATTAACTTGTTTGATGTTTCTGACACATCTTGGAGTTTGAGACTCCAATTAGCCCCATTTTGCAGAGGAAGAGACTGAGCATGAGAAATTAAACGTCTGCCCAGGATCCCACAATGGCTGAGCTGAGATGTGAACCCAGACTTTCTGGTTCCAGCCTTTGTGTGTATAACTCCTGTTTCCTCCCAAGACCAGCAAGGAATGTCCAGTTTAAGGCTGCCCGTGGGAATTTCCTGGAGGCATGTATTCACACATGTGCTCGACAGGGTATGGCACTTCCTTGGAAGGATTCCCAGGAAACTGACCAGCCTCATTGCTGTTTTGGGGAAGGGGCTAACTGTTCCATGAACCCTCCAATTCAAAAGAACACAAAGGGGTTTTGTTTTTAATTCACTGACTCTTCGCTTTTGCGGGGTCTGGCGGGAGCTCTGGGAGGTTCCCCCCCTGCAGGGTCAGGGGAATCCCCCAATTCTAGCTTCCTCCTGAAAACCCTCTGGGGACAGGTGGCCAATCGTCGCAGTTTGCTCGGGACCGTCCCAGTTGTAACCCCGAAAGTCCCTTGTGGGAATCTCCCTCAATCCAGGGCAAACCCCGATGGTTGGTGGGGTGACCTGGAGCCCCCCTGCTGGTCCAGTAAACTGTCTCTGATTGAGGAGTTTGCAAAGGAGGCCTTGGGCCCTGGGGGCAGGACACTAGCCTTCCCAGCAGTCTCTGTGGTCTCTTTTTTATTCAGCTGTCAGGTGGGTGTGCTGGTCTCACTCTAAGAGAAACTGAAAGAGCTCAGCGAATTCTCAGCACATCCAGTCTGGGACACTGTGAGCTAGTATTATATTCTTATTACTGGGGTCATTAGCATCATTATTATTAGTCATGATAGTCACCTGGCACTTGCTGTCCCCCTGGGATGCTGGACACCCAGTCCCAGGCTCACCCCATGCTCTGTGGTCCAGCCTCTGGGTCCAGTGGAGACTGCCTCACCTCACCCAGCTGGCTGTTGAGGAATCTGGCAACTTTGACTTCCTGCTACTGCACTCTGAGGGGCAGAGAGGAAGCTGAGGCCAGAAGGCCATGGTCAGCATTTCTGAAGCAAGCAGGACAGCAGCTCAGGCCCAGAGGGCTCCCTAGGCCATTCACCCCCCCCCCCACCTTTCAGGCAGCTACTGGGGGCCAGGCATAATTCCAGGTGCGGAGAATGCGGTGGAGAACCACACAGACCCCTCCCTTGTGGAGCTGACATTCTAGAGTGGAAGACAGGCATTAAAATCACTGCTCGAAACTTCCAGTGAAATGTCAGGTTGTCATGAAGACTGCAGAAAAAAATACAGCAGGCCAAGAGACAGAAAAATGGGCTTGCTGATTTAGAGTGAGGGGATGGGTGAGAGTTTATTTCTTGGCCTGGGTAGTCGGTTTATTACTGTTGTTCTTTAAAACTGGGCCCACAGGCGAAGCCAGGGAAAGCCTTCCTTAATGCATGGTAAAGGAAAACTTTCTCTACTCACAACACTTCTGATACCCAATATGTGGGTTTTCCGCACCAAACAACTCTCCAATTTTCTGTGGACACCAACTGGGAGGAACTTGATCAGATATCAAAGGTGGGGGATGACTTTTTTTTTTTTTTTAAGATTTTATTTATTTGACAGAGAGAGGGGGAACACAAGCAGGAGGAGTGGGAGAGGGAGAAGCAGGCTCCCCACGGAGCAGGGAGCAATGCTAGGCTCGATCCCAGGACGCCAGGATCATGACCCAAGCCAAAGGCAGATGCTTAAGGACTGAGCCACCCAGGCGCCCCAAAGGTGGGGGATGAATTAAAAGGATTCTTTGCTCCCACCGAACCCAGCAGGCTGAAGACAGGCTCAGGCCAAGGTGGAGGGCTAGTCGAGAAGAGGGCTCAGATTAGTGTGGTCAAGGAGAGGGTCTCTGTCACCTCTCTGTGCCTCAGTTTCTTGCTCGGAGAAATGGGGATAACATAAACCCCCAGAGGACTGCTGCCAGGCTCAAATGAGATACTGCATGAAAACACTCAGGGCATAGCCTTCTCGGTAAACGACAGCGACTTGCTGCTGTGTGTTGATTAGAAGTCAGATCAGGTGGCACTTCCAAGCGGCTACTTTGACAGCCTCAGAGGAGGTGATCAGGAAGAGGATCTGAACAGGTGCGCCGGAAATGCCTCTCGCGAGTGTGTGGGGGGGGGTGGGGGGTGGTTCTTCATCCAGCTAGGGGGAGCTGGCCAGGCGGAGATCAGGGAAGGAATGGAGTCACACGCCAGGGGGTCGGACCAAAGTGAGGACAAGAGGTTTACACCAGGTCCGAAAGTCTCACTTGGGCCAGCCGCCCGCGTAGGAAATCGATGTCACCGCGCCGTAGGAAGGCCGCACTCTTGAACCCCTACTAGCCACCACTTCCGCATCTCCGCCCACTCCCCCCCAGCAGCCAATCGCTGACGCTGCGGCGCATCCAGGTGCCGACCCAGCCAATCGCGGTTGAGGGTTAAAAAAAAGTGAAGCTGAAGACCAATAGGAGCGCCGCTATTGCAACGAAAGGACCAATGGTTACGTGCGACGGTCACAACGGCGGCCAATGAGTATGCCCATTTCAGGCGGCCAATGGGAGGCGGTGTCTCGGAGGCGATTTGGCGGTGGCTGCGGGTGACTGCGGGGCGGGGTCCGGGGTTCGAGCCAGAGTCCGGGGGGAAAGGGTGAGCCTGGAAACCCCGGGAGGGCCTCCGGAGGGCAGCGGCCGGCGGGGGGTGCGGTGGGAGGAGCGGCGGGAGGCTGTGCTTGGCAGGGGGGGGGGTAGAAACACCGATGCCTGGTGGGTGCCCATCGCGGCTCATGCCCCAGCCAGCCAGGCTTT